TTTCTGTGTTCACATGATTTAAATACTGTAAATTTGGCTCATTTTAGTATGTTTACTGCAGAGCTACAGTAAGATCTATAAGTATTCTCCAGTAGCATAACACTTTATTTTCCCCCCCAGATGGCTTTACGGATTCTGGTATAGCTTCTAAAGTAAATGGCGAACATAAAGAGAAAGACCTGGAGCCATGGGATGGGGGTGATGGCCTCCTTAGTAGCAATGTATCTACTAATAATGATGAGCTGGAATCTTTAGATACAGATGTAGTAAGTAAATATTCCCCCGTTTTCAAAATTCTTTTGAGAAATGTTTTTACAATGTTTGAAGACCAACAATACTAAAAAGTCCAGTTGCTTAAATGGTCAGAAGCTCGCCTCCTATGTACATTTTCTATAGCGTAAGTCTTAAGATGTAGCATTATATACAGAGATCTGATTTCTCTGCCCTTTTTTTTTTTTCTCCTGCAACTGTTTTGTTGAGATGCTTTTGTAAGCTTAAAGCAGAATTATGGCCTTCCAATAAATAAAGTGCTGCTGCACTTAATTATAAAGTGTATCTGTATTTGTCCCCCTGCAAAGTCCCACAAATACTTATTTTCCCTGCCAGTGAAGTCCGCCTAATGCAGCATTGCCACTCATGTAGACTGTTCTTTGCACTGCATTGGGGTGATGAGATGTTACAGAGTACTTGTCTATCAGTACTGTCACTGCTGATTTCATAAGGCTGTATCATCTTTCAGCACCACCCATGACCTAGTCCTGCGTGTGTGTGTGTCCTCCCAACAGTTTCTGTCAGAGCGGACAGAGAGCAGCAGAGAAACTAGGAATGCGCACAATTTTGGCTGAAAGATGGTATTTTTGGCGGCCGAAATTTCCGTGCATCCCTAGTTTGATTAGGTTGGCCCTCACATTAGATAGTTTAGGTAATTTGGAAAGTAGATTGTTCAGTCACATTGTAATTTAAGGACACCAAGTCTAGGTAGTTCTGTTTTCCATCCTGGAAGGTACTCTATCTTTATTGCTACTGTATTCAATTTGATTAAGGGAAGAATTTACAAAACACTTTCTATCTTTTTTCTGTATTTGTAAAAGGCTTACTAAGTTTAAGCATTAAAAGAGAACTATGGGGTAAGTGCTTTTCCCCATAGTTCTCTTAAGGGTCACAAGAGGACACAGACTTACCTCCTCCCGTGACCCAAAGCTCAGTATATCGCAAGCTACAGCTCGCAGTATACTGAGACCACCACAGCCGGAACGGATCCCGACATTACTGTCAAGATCCACCCAGCTGCGTGAGTGACAGCTGGCTCTGCTTCTCTGGAGGCAGAGCCAGCTGTACCCGCCCCCTCCCCCGTCCGTTCCTCCACTCAGTGCTGGAGGATTGGAGAGTGGAGGGGGGGAATCCCTTCAGGGAGCTGTGACTGACCGTCACTGCTCTCTGCAGGGAGATGATCGAGAGGTGAGCTAGCGACGGTATGTGTTCGCTCACTTCCCGATCTATTGAGCTGACGTGTGACAGTTTTATTGTCGCACGTCGGCTCAAAGTATAAGTATGAGTGATTTTTCACTCACCTCATAGTTCTTCTTTTTTAAGCTTAAGTTTAAACCTATATGGTTTTGAATTTACACCCATTTTCAAGACAGATGGTTTATATAAAAAATACATACCGCTGCTATACTGTTGGTGACAAAATACGGTGACAGTGTAGTTATTGTAACCCTGTTTTTGGTTTCAGTCTAATGGTTGGGATCCCAATGAAATGTTTCGCTACAATGAAGAAAATTATGGTGTAGTATCCACTTACGACAGCAGTCTTTCCTCGTATACGTAAGTACATGTTCCCAGTTTTTTTGTTTGTCCAGTAGTCTATTTCTGTGCTGCAGTACTGACATTTTATATCACTGCAGTCACCGGAAAAGTCAAAACACGATAAATTGTAGCTTTTAGTCCTATTCATTATTCTTCTATATGTACAGTCTTTCAAAGGCTTTCCATTTGGCAGTTTTTCTTACTACTAGGTTTCCTTGTGTTTTTTTTATATGAAGCGTTCTTGATTATGAGCAACATTCTTATCTTTTTTTCAGAGTGGCTTTAGAAAGGGACAATTCTGAAGAGTTTTTAAAGAGGGAAGCACGAGCAGCTCAAATAGCTGAAGAGATTGAGTCAAGCTCTCAATATAAAGCCCGTGTTGCCTTGGAAAATGATGACAGATCTGAGGAGGATAAATATACTGCTGTTCAACGTAACATGTGTGACCGAGATGGACATTCAGTGACTTCTAGGTAATGTGATATTTTTTACTAATATTTGACATGTTTTATGAATCTTTAGATTTTCTAAATGTTCTTCTTTCTCCTGCATCCTTTTTTTTATAGGGAAAATAAATATGTTCCTCCAGGGCAGAGAAGTAAGGATGGCATGTCATGGAGTAGCCATAGTGTAAGGCAGAATTCACCAAGGATGGGTCAGTCTGGATCTGGACCTATACCATCAAGAACTGGATCACATTCTTCAGAGTACAGTCCCAGTTCTGGATCTGACCAAAGAGTGGTTAATGGAGGCAAGTTTATATATGTGACACCACCAGATATGATTACTCCAATTTGCTTTTGGTTTAATAGAAGTGTTGTCAGCCAGGAGCTTCATTTGATAATGATGTAGTTTGTATTAAAATGGGTAACACCTCACAAGTCAATGTGATTACAACATTGTGTATACTCGAGCTTTTGCACTGTATGTGATATGGACTTTAACGTTCTTATATGCAAGGTTTTTTCTTCTTTATAACATGCAGATAGTGCCAAAAACCATTTCCCCCTCTGTTATATTTTACTTTTTTTTTTTTTTTTTTTTTTCCCCTTTTTTTTTTTTTTTTTTTTCCACTTTCTTTTTTTTTCCCTACCTCTTTTATTTTTTTCTTTTTTTTTTTTTTTTCTGTTCACCTATGTTATTTTCTATTTTTTCCACTTTCCTTTTCATTCCCATATTTTTGGTTTTTTTATACTTTCCTTCATCTCATTTGTTCTGTCAGGTGTTCCCTGGCCATCGCCTTGTCCATCTCCTTCCTCCCGCCCACCTTCTCGCTACCAGTCAGGTCCCAACTCTCTTCCACCTCGGGCAGCCACCCCTACAAGGCCGCCCTCCAGGCCCCCTTCGCGGCCATCAAGGCCACCGTCTCACCCCTCTGCTCATGGTTCTCCAGCTCCTGTCTCTACTATGCCTAAACGCATGTCTTCAGAAGGTACAACACCTCAGTTTTTTTGTTTGTTTTGTAAAACCCCTTTACATCCTGCATCTACGCTTATGGCATTCTTAAGACCTTAATTACATCTACAGCTTCAGTGTTGCGGCTATGGTCAGGCTTTTTAAGTGTAATCTATGTAATTGGATTATGGCTGCTTATTTGGACTGCAATAATAAATCTTGTGCGCGTGCACATAGTGTATCCTGGAACGCATGATCAGCTTGTGTTGCTTACTTTCGTTGCTCAGATAATGTCATCATGTGGCTAGCTGCTTTCAGTTGTTAGTCAATTCACATGCTTTCAATAACATGCGCTTGTAAAAAAAACAACTTTAAGAATGTCAATTTTGTTTATAGATTTTATGGCAACATTTCCCTTTCCCGTAACCATATTAAGAAAGGAACACATTTTTGCTATTTTTAACATCTTTGTGCATGTAATACTAATCATGCACTGTATAGTACATATGCTTAACAGAGGTGACTTTTCCTCAGCTGCTGGTTAAAGCATACTTGCTAGTTTTTCTGGTTACTTTGCTTGTTGCTTCTCTTGCTTCACCTAACTATTAATGATGATCTTGTGAAGTTTGAGTTTTGGATTATATTTTATTTGAACAGTCTGTCAAATGTTGCTTAGTTCGTAGCTTTTGCTTCTTATTTTGGCATGCATATTCATTTGCTGTTCTTTGTCCTAACTTTGTGCATATTAAGCAGTTTCTTTACCCCAAATTTTCTTGTGCAGTTAATTCCAGGTTCACCGAGTTTGTTCTTTGTGTTCATAACTGTCCTGCCTGCTCACACTCCTTAGAAGTGCCTAAATTCCAGATTTGTTGGTTTAGGAGAGTGGGTCCATATGAAGCGTGTTCCACTCATCCTTATACTCCCAAGTTTTTCAGTTTCATCTGTCCTCTCCTGACACACTTCTGGCCAATCAATCCTTATCTACACTCGCCGCCTATGGAAACTGATGAGGAAGGCCATGAAAACCTAGAAGTTTGCAGAGTGGGTAACAGCCAGATGTGTGTCGGGATATCATGTTTTAAAGTTTAGATTAGTTCCACATAGGCAACGCTCTACGCTTGCCACCTCCTAATCCTCAAATCTGCACTTCTGTAAGTAATTTTGAATGTACTCTTTATTCTAAATCTAGTAACTGTATGTTGCCAGCACCTCTCTTGCACTTTAAGATGAAATGTTTGTTTTTCTGTGTTAACATGCACCTATACTTTTGGGGGAAAACAATATGCTGCAAAAGAGGTAGGAAGGGAATGGAGACAATGCTCTAACAGGAGAACTATGAGGTATGTGAATAACTCAATCCTCGTAGTTAGAGCCAATGTGCGACATTGAAAATGTCACATGTCGGCTCTATTGATCGTGAAGTTAACCAAAAGCAGATTAAGATCTGACTAAATATAAAACATTAAGTTTTAGTAATGATGAGGGGTTGGAACCTCTGTTGGGTTTTGCTGGGGAGATTACCCTTTCTGTCTGTTTTGGTGACCACTGTGTGCAATTGGAAATACAACACAATTTCCATGTCTTTCTGGTCACAACTAAGATGGCGTTTCCTGTACTTTGGATCTTCTTACTTTCTGTTGTCTGTAGACCGGAACTAAAGGTAATTCTCCTCAATAGGATATTGACCCAAACAGGGGTGTGGAATTCTATAGCCTGACGACCGGGGCAGGCAGTTTCGGGCGCCGGGCGAGTAGTTTGTACATTTTAGTCCTGCTCCGGTCAAGCAGAGCGGAATGTAGTGTGGGCCCGCCGCTCGTTTTCATACATGTGATCTGATCAGATCACTTGTATGAAAGGAGCGGCGACAATCGTGTCCGGCTTTTCGGGGTCCCCTGCTCCTCTACGGGCTCTATGGTGGGCTCCTATGAGCTCACCATAGAGCCCGTAGAGCAGACGAAGAACTTCCTTTCTTAATCTGCTCTGTGTTATCACTGAGACCTTGGCGCTGTGATCACAGCGCCACCTATCTCAGCTGTCAGGAACTGCATTCTGTGTTGGAGGGCAGGTTCCATAGAGAGAACCTGTCACCTCCAAACTATCACATAAGGGATTTTTAATCCCCTATGTGATGGTAATAAAATTAAGTGGGGGGGGGGAAAAAGTTTTACATTTTTTTTAAATAAAAGTGATAAAGTAAAAAAAAAAAAACTCCCAAAAAGTTAAACCAACCCCACCATCTGCATGCAAATAAACACATGCATAGGACATTGTGTGTGTGCGTTGAGTGCTGCCGCCATTCCACTGTGTGCCATATTGTGGTAGCCAGGCAGCAGAACTCTCCTACACGTACAATGTGCATTAAAGGGTAAGTTCACTTTCCCAGGTAATATGGGAAAATTGAATTATCCGATCAAATCTGGCCCGATCTCTTCCCAAACCCATCCCATGGCTATACTTGCCTTTCAGCGAACAGTCCATAGCCTCCGCCAGTACAGGTGTACTATCTGTACGCTGTACCGCAGTCCAGCCCTATGCATTTTTAATTTTGCTGGCACATTGCAAGCACTCATTGGTCAGCGTGGTCAGGTGACCACGCTGACCAATGAGAAGCACTATTTAGCACAGTCAAATACAGTTTTGATTAGGGATGCACCAATACAGAGTATTTGGGCGAGTACCTGTACTCGCCCAAATGCTCAGATACCTTCACCAATACTGGAACTTCCGGTCAGCGGAAGATTTCCCCTGACCGGCAGTTCCATAGAGGGAACATGGAGCCAGCTTCCCATGCAATCAGGAAGCATGACAGCGACTATTGACCAACCACCCGGTTTCCTGATTGGCCGGGAAACCGGATCAGCAAGGAGCTGGCTTTCCGGCCAATCAGGAAACCGGGAGGTGGGTCATTAGTCGCTGCCCTACTTTCTGAACATCGAGCCGGCCAATCAGGTCATTACACACTGCACGATTTCCTGGTTGGCTGGGAAAACGGCTTCCCAGCCAATCACAATCAAGTCGGACAAACAACATGGAGTTGGCTTTCCTGGCAATCAGGAAGCTGGGTAGCATGTCCAGCTTCCTGATTGCCCGGGAAGCCTGCTCCATGCCAATGGAAGCACCGATACTCTGTATTGGCGAGTACCAAAAGCAAAATATCAGTACTCTTACTTGATACTCAAAACTATTTTTTTGTATTGGGACAAGTAGATTGTCATGAGGGACAGGTAGATATGGTCCCCGCTTTAGCACTTGGACAATTAGTTTTTTTAAATATTTCCACACCATGACAGGGGAGGGACTGTATTCTCCCCGCTCCGATCCTCTAGTGCTGACTGGCGGATCGGACGGGGGAGGGGGCAGGTACAGCTGGCTCTGCCTCTAGATAGGCAGAGCCAGCTGTCACTCACGCAGCTGGGCGGATCCAGACATAATTGTCGGGATCCGTTTCAGCTCCGTTTCCGCTGCGGCGTCTCAGTATACCGCAAGCTCTAGCTCACGGTATACTGAGCTTAGGTAACGTGAGGACGCTAGTTTGTGTCCTCCCTTTACCCTTAGGAGAACTATGGGGAAAAGCCCTAACCTCATCGTTCTCCTTTTAAGTATAGGTGTATGCAAAGCTCTTGTGATGAATAACATTCTTTCTTTATGCTTCATTGTCAGTGTTGGGTCTTATGCAATCTGAAGCTTGCCTGCAAAAGCTCATTTTTTAACTTCATAAAAAACAGAAATTTTTGGTGAAATTTGTTACTTAGTCTGCATGTGTGTGACCAGCATTGTTGCTTATAGTATTTTAAGCGATGTCTATGTACTTTGCTTCTAATGTGTTCCATCATTTTTATCTCGCTTTTTTTTTTTTTTGTACTCACTGTGAGTAACAATGTAGAGATCATTCAGCGGGTTTCTGGCCTGCTGATCTGCAACTGAAAAGTAAGGCGTGTAAGCTTGGCCAATGCAAACCTGATTTTCAATACATTTACGGCAAATGCGTGCATCATCAAATGATCATTTACCATTCTGACTTTGTAAGCACACACAGGTCCATTAATATTCTCACTGATCTGTTCCATGATGGCTAAGCTGTATCTGTTATGCCTTATTTTAAAAGTAGATTAAAATGTATTTCCACTTTTGCAGCCAAATTGGGAAAACCCCCATTTTTTAGGGTTGTTTTTTTGTGTGTGTTCTTTTGGTCTCATTAACATATAACCTAGCATTTATATAAAAATATTTCAACATACATTAGATTTTTTTTTTTTTCCTTCTCTAACCTAAATTTTCTTTTGTAATACAAAGGAGTGGGAGTTTAACGTTAACCTAATGAACTCTGTACTGTCAACACAGAAGGAAAAAGAATGGGGCTAATTTGACTCTGTATTGTGCTGGCAGGTCTCATTAGTTTGAACACTGCCTCTACAAAGTTTAAAGGTCTCGAAGCATTACATTTTAATGAGAAGAAGCTCAGAGTGTGTACTTAATTTTTCTCTGGGGACAGCCAGAGTTTCCTGCCACTTTGAAATTGCACAGAAAAGGCCACAGGCCAGCTACGCAGACACCTCTAAAATGTAAAAGATATGCTGTGCGAATATGAACACATAAGAGTATTTTTCTCATTTGATTGCAAAGGTGGAAGTACAGTTTATCATATATAGCATGTAAGTTTACATTTATTTTTGGATCAGTATTTCATTGCCATTGCTTTTGGAATTGCCAAACACCACATGCTCCAGTATTACTCATTTTTTCAAAAGAAGCATAAAAATGCAGGGTACCGTCAGTGTGGGGGTCCCCAAAATTTTAATTCTGTTTGTTCTACTTATACTGGCTGTGCTCTGCTCGAAGACATTCCGGAATGCCTTTTTAAGCTGTATGTAAAAGGATAGGATCATACTACACGGATAAATAGGGTCTATACAAATAATGGAGTGAACCAGTAGGAATACTTTGCGTAAGTTAATGCCAGGCTCTTTTTTTATTTTATTTATTATATTCCCTTGATCATTTTTGGCATCTCTGAAGCTTTTCCATAATTTTATGCACTAGTGTATTTAGATGTGTACTCATTTTATAACTGGTGTGCGTTGTACTAATACAGCTTTTGTTGTGGATTCTACTGCAATATTTTTAATGGGAGTCTCGTGTGTACTTCACAATAATTTTGATATATATATATATATATTATATTTTATTTTTTTACTTATACTTTTTCACAGCTTTGTAATCGGTTTACTCAATTCAGAATGTGAGTTAAATGTCATCACTTTGGTTATGTTTGCTTAATGTTACATCTAAAGTGTTTTGTTTCTAGGACCTCCAAGGATGTCTCCCAAGGCACAGCGGCATCCCCGACCTCATAGAGTTTCTAATGGCAGGAGCACGATGTGTGGAGGCCTTGAGTTTGTTTCTCGCAATGAACCTGGCGAAGTGTCTGCTCCACCTATAGCTCGCAATAACTCTTCGGGCGGCACGTGGTCATCTGTTGTGAGCGGGGGTAAGGTTAAAATTTTGTTTCCTAATGGGTCCTACGTGTTTCACTCTCCTGTTTTTTGGTAACCAGGTTCTATTGCTATTCCGATCTAATTGGAAATAAAATGTGATTTGTCATGAGCCATTTTTCATTTTTTAAATGGACAGGGTGTAAAAAATGTTCAGTAGTTTTCAATGCCACTTTAACATTTTGTGCTCTAATCTTCACACTTTTATGTAGTAGTACGTTAATTGTAAAGTTGGAAAAATCAGGACTCGCATGTCGGACAATTAAAGAAAATGTTTACTAAGGAAATATTTGTACAAATAAAAACTCAGATTGAATAATTAATGTATCCTGATAAATATGGACTGAGATCCATCAAAATGTTGGCAATAAAATGCTGATGCTTTGCCTTATCTCTTCTGCAATACCCGTGAGTGCCTCTGTACCTACTTTAGATGGAGGGAGAGGTTTGGGTTTATTTTTTGGTCCTTTTGAATTATAACCATTTTTGTCTTCTATGTAGAAAAGGGTAAATTTTGTTCTGTTTGTATTTGCAATAAGGAAATATTTTTAGATCTTTTAATTCTTACCACAGAGGACATCAGAATAATTTTGTGCGATACTACATCGTATATCTTGAACCCTTTCTGAATATGTCTGGTACATATTTTTTTTTTCCAGCGCAAAGACTTTCTCCGAAGACTCACCGGCCCCGATCTCCAAGACAAAGTGCCATGGGTGGTGGTTCTACAGTACCACCTCTGAACTCTCCTCAGGCTGGTTCTATTGCGCCTGAATCTGTAGCTGTGCCTGTACCCACTGGATCGCCAACACCTGCAAGCCCAGCTTTAAATAGAGCAGTTACCCCATCTTGTGAAGGTACAATTTTATATAATAAATGATGAGAAATGGAGATGTATGCACAAATTAGTCATGGGATACCTTTACGCACCAGTACCTTTTAATTTATAATTTAGTTGTCATGTGACAGTTTTTCCTAAAGCAATACAGACTGCTTTATTTCAGCGCAGTGGTGGAGCACCAGAGCCAGGTACCAGCTGCAACCCTGGTAGTTCTCATGAAAATGCCAAGTATCGGCATTGGTACTCAAAGTATCGGTGCATCCCTACTTATAATACAGTGGAAATGGCTGAAGCTTAACCATTATTTGTATCATTTGCTCTGAACAGCTAATTTGGACTCTGTACTATTCACTAATACTGACTGAAGATCGGCTTCTGGTTGAGAACTAAACAGTGTATGTCTATAGAATGTATGTTTATGTATAGATTTTACATGCAGGCCTGTATTGGTTGTGTTTTTTTTATTGCTTTATTTTTATGAAAGGATTTATTTTTCAGCTAAAGACTCTAGGTTACAAGACCAGAGGCAAAACTCACCAGCTGGAGGTAGAGAGGTCATCAAGCAAAGTGACTCTTCTAGCTTTAGCAAACCCGAAAACAAAGGTATGCATGTATGGGTTCTTTAAAGCATGACAATATGCATTCATTTCACTTTCCTGCCATGCTGCACGGCTAGGCAGACAACACCTCCATTTTCTCCTTTTAGCTTTGTTGATTTTCTCTTTTTCAAGTAACACCATTTACACATTTTACCAGTGTGTTTTGGTTTCTGCCTTAAAGGACATGTTCACTTGAAACTAATTTTTAGCTTTTTAACCTCTTGCCGTCCGCCCGTAGTAAAAAAACGGACGGACGGCACTGCAGCATCTGCGGGTTGCCGTCTCCAGACGGCAATTTTTTTCTGCTCGCGCGCGAGAGGGTTAAATTACCTGTGCCTTACATGTTTTGGGACATCAGTGTGAAGATTTCTGTGATTGGGTTTCCAGGTCTGTTAGACATGATGCCACTCATTTTATTTTACACTGTTAGTAAGAGTTAGAACCCCGTAAATGGCCAGCTATCTGAGCTTCGTGTGAGAGGGACATCCCACCACATCCTCTTCTTGTTCATTTAGGGCATGCAGGCAGTATTAAACTGCCTCATACAGAGGAATGCAAACAAAAACTGTGGGTCAGCCCTGGGATAACACCTCCTACACCAGTTTTTGTTTTTTGTTTCTTCTTTTTGAGCTCTGCATATTCAAGACTTGACTTTTTATTTGTTTTAACAACTTTTTCTCCAATACTTTTCGCCTTATAGCTGTTGTCGGTGTCTCCACTTTCCGTGCTGTAATCCAGTGCAGTTATCCTCGGCCTTGGCTTTTGGATTTTACTGCACCTGGATACCACTGGACTTGAATATTCAGGATGAGTTTATAAGTGACCTTTGGGCACTGGATTCCTCTTGAGCACCTTTTCATACTGGTTTTCGTTGTGTTGGCTATGGAGTGCTCTACAGGTCTAGAGCTGCTGACACTGCTTTGCGCTTGCCCTGTCTTTGAAGACTCGCTTTTAGTAGGCCATTTGGGCCAGGCAATAGAAGCTTCCTCATTATAAGTCACTAGATGTCAAGTGCTTGAGCATTTCTGCCAGCTACCCAGGGTTCCCTAAGTACCCGTGGCCTTGCCTCTGACCTCGAGCCTGTAAGTTGCTTACTACACCTGCAACTTCTGATTCTAGACCGGGGAGGAGATATTATCGCTATATCTCGTGCCTCCGGCCCATTGACCACTCACTGGTCAGGGATTGCTTTCAGCACACCCCATTATAGTGGCAACTCCTATAGTCTGGAAACCTGTTGTCGTTCGGCAAGCTGTTCTGGCATATAATAGAGATTCTGAATACATTTATCAGTTTATCTGCAGTATTGGTAGTTTCAAACCTGGATTGTTCCATATCTATTCAATCCAAGTCATCTAGAGCGAGAACATGTTTTTTGTATTTGCACTACACCATGGAAAAGTGTGTTAGTGTTAAAAGTAGATACTTGAAATCTTTCTGTGTAATGGTCTGCTTTTTAAAATGGAATAAATAGCGGTATTATCCTGAAATATCCAAGTTATTTAACCCCTTTAGAGGCCCACCACACCAGATGGCTGTACAATTCAGCTCGGCAAGTGTGGATTAAACCATAGAGGGAGGGTATTTTAGGGGACAGGGCACTTAGAATCCTACCCAACAATGCATGTTTTGCCAGGTAAGGTCAAAGGTTGCCATGGGGGACATGTTTACACAAGCTTTGGGTGACAATTTATAGGGAAGGTCCCTCAGCTGCTCGTAAGACCCTATAATTGCTGTCACCACGCTCATAACAGCGGTAGGTTCCTCTGGCAAATGCCAGTCATGGATGTTGGAGGCTCGCAAGGCTGATTGCCAGCTCCATGGGGGAGAATAGCTCCAAATGAAGGATGTCCTACAGGATTTGAGTTTTTAAGAGTTCCAGGAGTGGCAGGATATGGGATAGCCTATCCCCTAGTCCAGGAGTGGGAGGATAAAATGCTCCATATAAATTTCAGAAGCAAATCATGATTATTGAATTTGGCCTGTCAGGTTGAGCGGAAGTAAATGCCAGTGGTGAAGTTTGGTTTCCATTTGTCAATGTGGGTTTTATCCTTATTGGGTTCTGCTTTAGGCTTGATTCTGGTTGTATTTCTTTTCCAGATCCCTAAAACGGATCTACTGCTGCCACTGATCCGCAGTTAATTGAGCGCATAGATTAGATTTCTCTGGCTTTGAATTTTAATTGTGATGGGCTATTGGAAACTTCCTGTCTTCATCTTGCAATTGTCTCCTGTCCTTTCATATGTGTTCTGTAGCTGAAGTACTAGACTGTGAATGTTTTCTCCACCCTTAATGCTACTATCATGAATGCTGCTGCCAGCAAGAGTACTCCTCTCCACCAACTGCAGAAGTCTAAGGAGCAGATTAGCAAGGTTTCTGCATCGTCAAGACCCCATGCTTAGTTCTCCAGCCATCCACAAAATATTGTCTGCCAAATCTGCAAACGCCCTGTTCTGGTTTTAGAAGTGGTATTCCAGTATTACAAACTTAAGTTTTGTTTCCTACCCCTCCGCAATTTATACCATAACGTCTCCCTTTATTTACTTGCTGATCTCCATTGGGTGCTTTCTAGACTTTTGGACCAAGGGGGTCACTGTCCCAGTTCCTGAAATGCAACAGTTTTAGGATATCTACTCCAACCTGGTCTCTGTTCCAAAGACCAAAAGGGGGCATTTACCCCCATTCTGTACCTCACTGATCTGAATGCTTACATCTGAGCCCAAATATTTCTAACACCTGTTGATGGGCCATGCGTTCTGGATTCAATCAGACAAGGCCACAGCAGTTGGGTACATCAAGCAGTCTCGCTACAGCAAGAGGTAGAATAAATCCTCTCTTATGACATCAGGTCCCATTGTTCTCAGCAGTGCACATTCCCTGATTGAAAAACAGACATTTTCTCAGCAGACATCTGGACCCACGGGAATGGCCTCTACATGCAGAGGTATTGTGGGACATACACTATATTGCCAAAAGTATTGGGACACCCCTCCAAATCATTGGTTTCAGGTGTTCCAATCGCCTCCATGGCCACATGTGTATAAAATCCAGCATGGAAAGAAATAGGATTGGACCCACCATATAGTATGGGAGGTCCAAGGGTTAATTACAGATCGGGACGGACAATTTTTTCAAAAATTGGTAGAAAAATTGTTTGTATAAAGCTAAAAATTCCGACACCACCACCATCTACAGTGAGAGCCACAATTCTCACTGTATAAAATCCAGCACCTAGGCATGCAGACTGCTTCTACAAACATTTATGAAAGAATGGGTCGCTCTCAGGAGCTCAGTGAATTCAAGCGTGGTACCGTGCTAGGTTGCCACCTGTGCAATAAGTCCATCCGTGACATTTCCATGTTACTAAATATTCCACGGTCACCTGTTAGTGGTATTATAACAAAGTGGAAGCAACTGGGAACAACAGCAACTCAGCCACGAAGTGGTAGGCCTCGTAAAATGACAGAGCGGGGTCAGCGCATGCTGAAGCGCACAGTGCGCAGAAGTCGCCAACTGGCTGCAAAGTCAATAGCTACAGACCTCCAAACTTCGTGTGGCCTTCAGATCGGCACAACAACGGTGCGTAGAGGGCTTCATGGAATGGGTTCCCATGGCCGAGCAGCTGCATCCAAGCCTTACATCACCAAGTGCAATGCAAAGCGTAGGATGCAGTGGTGTAAAGCACGCCGCCATTGGACTCTAGAGAAGTGGCGACGTGTTCTCTGGAATGACGATTCACGCTTCTCTGGCTGGCAATCCGATGGACGTGTCTGGGTTTGGCGGTTGCCAGGAGAACGGTACTTGTCTGACTGCATTGTGCCAAGTGTAAAGTTTGGTGGAGGGGGGGATTATGGTGTGGGGTTGTTTTTTCAGGGGTTGGGCTTGGCCCCCTTAGTTCCAGTGAAGGGAACTCTAAGGCATTAGCATACCAAGAAATTTTTTGACAATCTCATGCTCCCAACTTTGTGGGAACAGTTTGGAGATGGCCCCTTCCTGTTCCAACATGACTGCGCAGCAGTGCACAAAGCAAGGTCCATAAAGACGTGGATGACTAAGACTGGGATGCCATTAAAGTTCAAGTGTGTGTAAAGGCAGGCGTTCCAATACTTTCGGCAATATAGTGTATGTCTGCATTGGGGAATGCAGAATGTGGACTCGTTAGCTTAACTGAACAAAAAACTGAACAGATTTGTTTCCAGGATGCGGACCCTAGCGGCAGAAGCAGCAGGTGCCCTGGCCCTGATCTGTGCCTTCCTCTTCTTTCACCTATTCTATAAGCGCCGTCAAGGTTTACCTTTCTGCCACGGCTTCATTTTCAACAGACTGATTCCCTGTTTGACATTCCACAAGGACCTAAAAGAGGTTCTCCCATTCCAGGACCACTGTTTCCAAGTTGATTTGGACTATTCAGACCTATGAGTCATGAAATAAAATGTCTATCTTTCCAGTTAAAGGCCACCCCCACTAGCACAGTGAGATGTCTTGGAATTTGTCAAGAGGCCTCTGTGTCTTAGACCTGTAAGGCTGCAACCTGGTTTTCTGTACATACATGCTCTATATTAGATAGTAAATTTAAAATTCAAGGAGGTCTTGTGAGCAACATTTTCATCAAGCAGCGGTCCAAATCGTGGTCTGGACAGAATGGTCACTCAGTCAGTGTCCATACCACGGTCCGCCATTTAGGCTGCATTCACACCAGCAGGTGCTGAGGTATGTTCTCAGGCACAGTGCTTTATGCTCTGATCCTGGATTTGGAGGTGACAGGTTCTCTTTATGGAAGCCTTGGTCACGGGTCTATTAGAGGTTGGTGTATCCACTGTCAGTCAGCCATCCATAACCCAGTGCAGGTCAGCGATCGTGGTCTGAACAGAACCGCCACTTGGGACCCCTGTTTTATATGATCAACATGTTTATCTCAGCAGATGTTCGTATTGGTTGAAAGTTTCTGCAAGCAACTCTTAATAATTCCCTTGGTTCTCTTTGTAGTCTCTTTTTTTTGCTTTGACATACCAGGCTGTTTTTTTAATTTTCATTGCTGTGATAGTTTGACTAACAATGATTCTGTCATGCAACATTGTAGCCATATTAATGTTCTATCAGCTGCTGCTAAATCATTCATTGATTCTCCCATTCACAATCTACTAGGATTCCTCTTTTGTAAGAGGAAGGGGAGAGATTGTCAGTAAACCGTAACATGTGACTGCTGTGATTAGTCATCGCAGCCATTGTGGCTCAGTAGTGTCTCTGAATGTTCCTGAGTGGCTCGGTACACAGAGACTAACGGATGTCCATCAGGCATTTGTGAAATGACATTTTAAGACGTCATTCTAGAAATGGCTTGTCTTTTATTTTTTAACAATACGGTGGTGGGGAGGTAGTTGCAGAATTGTTTTTTTTTTTTCTTCTCTAAACTGAAACTCCATTATATTAAGGATCTCTTTTGCATTTTCTATCTTAGCAATACCGCCAATGGCTTCAGAACAAAGGAAGCAACTGGATGATTTAAAGAAGTTTAAAAATGATTTTAGGGTAAGTATAGCTGTACTATGTACTCTACAACTGTTCTTAACGTTTAAAATCAATATTTTGAGTTTTAATCTTGTGCCCTTCATTTGTCTTTACCATTCATAGTTGCTAGTTTTCAGTTCAGTGTATAGTTCAACTCTTCTCCACCCATATTGCAGTAATGATGCCCTCTTCTCAGATGGGTGACTGAAGGCTGTAGAGATGTTGCTTCCTTTTTCACCTCTTCCCCCACTGTAAGTGGCTTGTACGATAATGGAGCAGCTATGTAAATGCTATCCTTCATTCCTTCATGTGCCCTCCCATCCTATAA